AGTGCACAACACCCATATTATTGGTCAGAACTATGGAATTAAAATGCTCCAAAAGGCTCCAAGAGCACAAATGTGGTCCAGAGGTCCAGTTCAGAGACTCTATTTAGCAGTTAAGAGTCAGCTGAGCGTCTGTGAAAGTTAGTGTATCATGATAGTATCAAGATATGGATTTTGAGCTTGTCTGTCTCACTGTGGCAATGGTAACATATACAGATTGGCATTATACAACTTTGTAGATAGATATAGATATAGGCCATAGACTGTATATAAGAGATGGAGGTCACTAGCAACTAAGACCACGGTCTCATCAGAAAAGTGTTTTATGAGGTCACAGATTCAGTGAGTAGGCTTATTCTCTCACGGCCTTCTTTTTAAAAGCTGAGGAGTTGCCTCCTACTGGCTATTAGAAAGAATGCATGTTTACGGCACTCCCAACACAAGAAGTTACGTCCATGATTTATGTACAATGTTTTGAGCAATGCTGTCCTCTGACCTCTGGCTGTTTGAGATCGGGTGCGTGCTCCATCCTTTCTGCAGAGATATAGTAATCGATCTTATGAGACGGTGAAGAGTGGAAGAGCTTCTCTGCCTCAATCATGTCCTCCAAAGTGGGATCAAAAAGCTGGAACTGTGTCAAGTCCACAGACCTGAAAATACAAATATGGTTCAAGTTTATTAGATAATGTCTGTATCAACAGCTACATGCTACAGATTGAAACAGAAGCCACTGGCATACTCGTTTATATTTTTTAAACGGTAAAAATAGTTCCTCCAAATCTTTTACAATAAAAACCTTGCTAAAAATGAAGTCTGTCAAAATGATACCAATGAGCTGCCTCATTAGTTAGAAATATGCTGCAGTGTAATATTATATAATAAGATAAAGTTATTCATGTGCAGTTATTTACAGGCTTGTACCCATTATCTATTACCTACACCTACATTATGTTTGTATAATTAAAGTAAAGAGCTGACATGTTACCCTCCGATTTTTGGAGGCTTGCATTCTCAGAGTGCTTTTTATTGCTTTATTATTTATCGTTGTCTTATATTCAGGTATTTTTATTTAATTAAAGTGAGTTCACATGTATTGCTGTCTTGATTGTCTGTTTTCATTTTGATTCATGAAAACTTTCACACAGATTTATAGTTTCATCTGTACATTTTTCCATAACTTACACATACATAAATATTTTAAATTAAACATTTTAAATTAAATTAGTTGTGAGAACAGTGGCATAATTTCTGTTTTATTTGTCGTAATGTTTAATTTTTTTTGTGTCTTACATGTTTCTGTGAAGCAGTTTGTGCGACTGGTTGTAATGGGTGCTGTACAAATAAACTTGATGATGTTATCTTTCACAGTTATCAGTGCAACTCCAGCCGATGATGCCAGCTCACATTCACAAAATCTCCTCTACTGATGACTAAGAACCAGCCCTGTTTTACGCACCTGTTCAGGTAAGCCTCCAGCTCGCTGAAGGGGTACAGCAAGCTCCGCAACTTCTTTGGGGTAAGTGATGTGACCTTCTGCACCGAGGCCAGTTTATGGATCCTCTGCCCAGTGGCACAGCTGACAGCAACCCCAGGCCGGAGCCGCAGGAGCTGCCGGACAGGAAGCATGTTACCCCGCTGATTTCAGACCAGTCAGACCCTGAGAGGAGATGCACATGCGGAGGTCACCTGACAGTTTCGCACAGGCGCAGTCCCCCCTGAACTACAGC